AATCCCCCCGCCTCGCATCCTCATGGCCTCGCCATTTCTCGGAGATTTCGAAATTTCGTCGAGAACGGAAGCCACAAAGGGTGTGCACACAAAAGGAAGATTAATCATTGAATGTTGAGTATTTGAATAGCGTTTTGTGTAAACTAATTCATGCATGATCGGCCAGGTGTGTGTGTGTGTGTGTGTGTGTGTGTGTGTGTGTGTGTGTGTGTGTGTGTGTGTATATATACATATATATATATATATATACACACACACACACACACACACACACACCACAGAACACTTGCTGACAATTTTCTCATGTTGTTGTTGTGTACAAAGTTGAAAGAAGCGTGAGTCGGAAAACCTCGCGAAAGCCACTCAACTTTAACAACAATGGTCTCATTTTGTTGATTCTTTCCTTGTCGCGGAGCGGTCCTTTCTTTGACAGTGGGAAGTGTCAGTTTTCGCCTTGCATAAAAAACGGTGCGAGGGGAGGGGGGAGCGGGGGTGGGCAGAGGAGGCCCCGGTACGGCCGCGTCGAAGTCGCGCGCACCGTTGGCTGCCGCCGGCTGCCTGGCCGGGCTCCACATGCAACTTGTAACTCACGGCCAAAGTGGAGCGCATACAAGGCGGCTACTTGGGGCCTGCTCGGTTGCCTTCGGAAGTAAAAATGGGGGAGGGGGAGCCGTCATAGGATTCATCCGACTAACTCAACTATTCAATGAGCTTGAAAAGGAAAATACAGGACCGTGAAGCCCCCCCACCCCAATGTTTATTGTGTTTGGTCCAGCCGTAGTCGAGAGAGCATTTTTTTCAGAGAGGATTTTAGCCCCCCGGCCCACTTTCAACACGTTTTAACTGATGAAAGCATTCTGGAATTCATTCAAACCATCTTGCCCGCATGTTTGCACAACCACCGATCCTTCAACTGTCTTCCAAGTCGACAGTGTAGCGGAGGCCGCGCACGGGCGAGAGTACGGGGACGCGTCGCCTCCACGGGGGGTTTTGCGAGCGGGCCTCCCCATCCGGCCGGCCGATTCACGATTGTCACGTTTCCAGGTGGATCAAGTTTGAGGAAAAGGTGGAGAAAGGCGGCGAGCGCTGGAGCAAACCTCACGTGGCCACCTTGTCCCTGCACAGCCTGTTTGAGCTGCGCGCCTGCATCGAGAAAGGCAGCATCCTGCTGGACTTGGAGGCGTCCACCTTGCCTCAGCTGCTCGGTGAGTCGTCGTTCCGCGACGCTTCCGAGCTCGCCTCTCGTTTGCTCACGTAAACGAGAACGTCAGAAGATGGCGCTGAACAACAAATCGCAATTGGGCGTCACGCGTCGCGCTGCGAACGTACGTCGCCAAAGGTCAACGTCACTAAATATCATGGAACCGGTCCTCGCGGATTGAAGTGCAACTCGACGGAATGGAATGTAAAAAAAAAACAACGTCGCAGTGTGGAACGTCGCACCATGTACGGAGCGTAGCGTAAGTAGGACTACATCACGTAAGTCGACATCGCGTAACATCACTCAATGGGACCGACGTTCATCAAACACGTCAGGCGCTGATATCTGATAACAACGGCAGGTTGTTAAGCGAGTCGGGCGGCCGGACGTCGCGCGGCCGTCGCGTCCGGCGTTCCGATGTGCCGCTCTGTAACCGACGGGCATCCGTCGGCGGGAAGGGCTTCCGAGTCTGTCCGCAACTCGCCTCCGCGCACGCAGTCTTTGGGCATCGATTGGCCGCGCGCCTCCTTTCTTTGTTGGAAGAGGCCGGCCGAGGTCTCGCTCCGCTCGGCCCGCCCGGCACGAACTTTGCGCCCCGAAGGCAAGATGACGTCCTCTCACGCCACCGGCCGAACTTGCGCCGGGGAGCGAGAAAGCAGGAAGGCCGACGGGGGGGCTCGGATTCACGTCGGCTAATGGAGCGCATCGCGAGGGCCTCTCTCTCGCTTTCAGCCCGTTGGCCCCGAGGGAGGCTCCTCTCCGATCTGTCAGCGTTGTTGCTTGAAAAGAGGCGAGCGGCGCGTCTTTGGAGGGAGGGAGGGACAAGGCACGCACGCCTCGCAGTCCACACTTTGCCCTGCTCCTCTTTGTCCTGCTTGCGGTGAACACAGCAAAAGGCGGCCAAAACTCCTTTTCATCGGCACGAAATCGTCATCAACGTTCATTTGGGGGGGGGGGTTTGTTTTGCTTTGTTTTGTTTTTTCCGGGGGGGGGGGTACATTACAACTTTGTTCTCGCAATATAAGTCTGAAAATGTTCATGAAAGAATCATATTGCACATTCTTGTGGTATTCCAACCTCGGTCCTCGGGATTGATTTTGCTTCTCATCTTGCCTTTTGTTCTGCTGTGATTATTTGCAACATTTTTTTTCTTGGAATTGTCCTTAGAAGAGATCAAAAAAGCCAAACCGTAGTCGGCTCTTTCTTTTGGGCAAAAGAAAAAAAGTGAAGTCCCTTTAAAAATGGGATCTTTAGTGGTTGTTGAAATAGTACACATTTATTTCAAGAAAATGTTCTTTCCTTGAGAAATCACACACGTCTTACCTTGATGTTGTTTTGGGGGGTGGAATATAAAGCCCACATATCACAAGAAAAAAAACCCTTCAAATAGGCATTTTTCCAATTTCTACTGATCATTATTTTTCTCATGTCATGATACCTTAGAACTCATCTTTTTTTTTTTACCGCTTCTTCCCAGTAACCGAGAAACCCGTCTTTTGTTGATTAAAAAAATAGATGTATAGATCACATTTTTCTCCTCAAACGACAAAAATGTGGTGAAAAACCTTTTCTTCTCGCAGAATGACACATTTTTCCTCGCGATCTTTTTTTTTTTCTTGAAAAATGACAAATTGCGTGTATTCTCTGCAATATTTTGGGGGGGGGGGGGCGATGACCATCGTACCATTGGGACTGCACGCGAATAAGTTCAGCCCTCGCGTATTGCGATGTCATAGTCGCGCTTTCGGGGTGGTGGGCAGGTCACCCAAACGGGTCCTTTTATTTTTTTCAGAGCTGATCACGAACGAGCAGGTGCAGAGCGGCCAGCTGAAGCCCGAGCTGAAGGAGAAGGTGACGTCCACGCTGCTGCGCAGGCATCGCCACCAGACCAAGAAGTCCAACCTGCGCTCGCTGGCCGACATGGGCCGGACGGTCTCCGGCGCAAGTAGGCTCTTTTCCAACCAGGACAACGGTAACGCTCGCTCGTGCCGCAAGACTCCGGCGGGCCCGGCTCCTCTTGACCTTGTTTAAAAGCCGCTCGGGATCACCGGACGGAAGCGGAAGCGCGGCGCGATGGCCGCGCCTCTGCTTCGCCGCGGTCCAAAAGGAAACGCTAGCTCGCGACGTTTTCTCGGATGAGCTCGACGGCGGCGGTACGGCGACCCGCGACTCGAATGGCCTCAAATCTTGACCGCCGTCGCGGCCGAACCCCCTCCCCCGCCGGCACCGAGCAAATGTGGCAAACGAGCCCTCGGCGACGATTGCGCTTGGTCAAGGCGTCCGGCAATAACGAGGCTTGACGCGATCAGGATTCGGGAGGGGACACAAATGGGTAACTCCATCGCCGATTCCATGGGCTGTGCGGTCTTCGCACGCGAGGCGTCGGCACGAGTCGGCAAATGTTGAAGCGCATCGGGGAAAAAAAATGAGGGCGACGAACCCCTTTCAAATTCTCCCCCTTGAAATGCTGACAGACATTCAACGCGCGGGAAAAAAAAGGCGGCGGGGGGGGGGGGGGCTTTGCCCATCCGTTCGATGATTCCATGGGCTGTGCGGTCTTCGCACGCGAGGCGTCGGCACGAGTCGGCAAATGTTGAAGCGCATCGGGGAAAAAAAATGAGGGCGACGAACCCCTTTCAAATTCTCCCCCTTGAAATGCTGACAGACATTCAACGCGCGGGAAAAAAAAGGCGGCGGGGGGGGG